TATGTATCAGAGGGTAAAGAGCCTTCATAATGATTGCAACGATCCAAGCCAATTTTCGGGAACAGGAGAACGAGCGGTAATCCCACTTCCGTTGGTTGGTTTTAATTGAGAGTGCACCGCTGAGGCATGCGTACTCAGGAGGATCGTCCCGGATGGGCTAATGACCAGTAGTTTAGTTCATTTGCCTCCTCTGGAAAGGCTTTTGGAATATATGGAACGGGGTAAAGGGTGACTGCCTTTTCAGTGGCAGACTGTGCTCACTTATGTTACCAAACAGCCGTCCAAAACCGGCGGCAGTTTACGTGGAACACATACCGCGGCCACTTATTCAGTGAGCCTGAGCCTACCTTATTCGCGGCAAACTTTGATGGTCTATCTTTCTCCTATTCTTCATCCAAATGGGCAGCCGAACGACAGTAACCAAAACCGCCGCACGAAGGTGCATGGTTAATGGTTGTACAAACTGAAACTGAACTTTGATGGATATTTCCCTTATCTGCGGTCTGGTTACTCGCCAGGTAGCGTGTAGCTTGGCCTCGGCTAAAGTCTACAATCTTGATTGAGAATAGAACAACTTCAAGTATCAAATCGATTTGAAGGTTGAATTATAAAAATAGAACCCCGCAGATCCTAGGAACACCAAATGTCAGTGAAACTAGGAGGAAAATATGATTGATCTTGTTGTTACCATAGGTGCCTTTGAACACTTGTAACTACCTACTTACTTCCATCCATTTCACAAGAAAACGCATGAGGAATTAGGGGTAGCAATGGCTTACTAATAAGAATAACGATGACACGAAAATATTAAGATTCATCTAAGCCTTACGAAAACGTCCGTTTCATTTCGTATCAGATTTAATTCATTTATCAGTTAGTGGTAGGAATAAAAAGTGAAGGAACACACATCAGAACCTCGAGCTGTGTCCGAAAGCAGGGAGAACTTACATTCTAAAGCATTACTGTCGTTGTTCATTTGTTCCGCCACTTGAAGCCAATTGGCTTGATGCAGTAATTGTCTATGACCCAAAGCATACATTTCACGTTCCGTTGTTTGGTCACAACAGGAGGGATTATTGCTTACAGGACAAATATCTTTTAGTGGACCTTAAAATGAGGATAAGATCAGCAAAATGAGCGGTGATTGACTTACCGGCATTTATGTTGGGAGGTATATTACCTAACAACGAAGTGTAACGAAGACGAACCCATTCTTGTCGGGAACTGGCGCAATCGGAAGCCGCGCAAATCCCGAAGGAAATTAGGGGGAAAATTAACAGAAATCCCGAGGGAAAATCGATACGGGGCAATAGCATGGTGGGCAGATATGAAATAGAATTATCATACACAGCAAGTATCCACTTTCAAGGCCATATTCTGAAACGGAACAAAATCGGAGGGTTAGTAGCGACG